CGAGGTAAATTTTTGCAGCCAGAGCTGGTTGTAACCCGAAAAGTTCGTAAGCAGAGGCGTTCGTAACCCGAGGTACCACTGTACAGATTTTTGTCCTGGCCCTGCACACTTTTTAGAATGTTGCCTTTTGTATTCCTTCATGTTTCAGTGGTTCAGGGACATGAAGCATCACATGCCCCTTTTAGAAGCACAATTTTACAGTTGTGAACTACCTGGCAACATTCAGAAAATGAAAAAAACCACTGTGTTTTTCAGTGTTCTGGCCTACATATAGGTTCAAGAAGTACAAATTAATTAAGCTTGCCTAAAATGCAGAAATACATGTCATCTGTATCCATACCAAAGTAGATTATTTTTTGTTCCTAATCCAATGCTGCAGTGGATACTCCAGGACATTTAAAGATGTTTAGAAAGGCAAGATGGTGAGTCCAAACAATGGTGATAATCCTGTTGAAGTATCAGAGGAAGCCTAGTGTTGGCATGGATGCATCTCACCCACAGAAATATACCACTGTGAAGTTGGAAGCAACCACAAAGATCATTTAGTCCAACCTTCTGCAATTTGCAGGAAAACCAAGTAAACTATCCTTGAGAGGTGGCCATCCAGCCTCATTTTAAAAATCTCAAAGAGATGGAAAACCCACAACCTCTGTGGATAGATTGTTCCGCTGTTGTACAGATCTTACCATAAAATCATAGAAACAAGGTTATCTAGAATTTATCCATATTATATGCATGGTATTTAACAGATCCCATTAAAGCAAGAATCTGGGAATACTTTGTGCCCAATAAACAAATTATCTTCCTATATATGTTTAATCTTCTTTTGTGCACAGCTATGATTAAGAACCAAGATTAAGAATAGGCTTTAGTGCCATTGAAATTACTGAGACAAATTAGTCCTGACCATTTGAAGTTCCACTGATTTCAATCAAACTAAAGGAAAACTAAGACTTTGAACATTTTAAACACATAAAAGGAGACTATGAAACAAGCAATTCTACTGTCACTCATTACCTGGTGTGTTCAGACATTTTATCCTTTCCCCACAGATACTTGGTGATTCAATACATTCATCTCTATCCTGCAAGGAACAGAGGCAAATTCATATTTAAGTCAGTATTTTCCAAGAAAACCTGTATCTGCATCTCTTACCTCTACACTGAGAAAAGGCATATATACAACTTCCAAAATGCTACTTGTACTTTCCAGGTTTGTTGGACTTCAAGTCCAACATACCTGGAAGGCATCAGATTGCAAAGGACTCTATTACATATACCTGAATTAATACTATACTACATATCTAGCATTGTAAGTGTACAACTACTGATATCAAATAAAAGTTAAATCAGTGCTCCTGTCCTCTAATAATTTGAACAAAAGATGCACATGACTGATGTCTTTCCAATAATTCTATAATTACAACTGCACCCTCAGGAATCAAAAGGCTATTTTGTCTAGCTTTTTATGTTCCACAGTTTAATACAAATTCCTGTCCCTTTCAGCTTTCTTCATTACAGTTCCTGTGTGACTCTTAAAAAAAACACCTCTTGATCTACTCAAATTATTCACTTCTGCCTTTACTACTTCATCTTTTTTCAACAAATTATAACATTGTGTGCCTGTTTTGATTTTTCAAAGTTTTTTCTAACAGTAAATATGATATCAAACTGAAGTTAAATCAGTGCTCCTATCCTCTAATAATCTGAACAAAAGATGCAAATTACCTGATGGATCACATCACCAGTATGGTGACATCACAATGTCACATCATCCATATTGGACCTATGATGACCCAATGATGGTATCTTGGATTTGCAAGATAAACTTTCAAATATTATGCAAATGAGTCATCTCTGCTTTAGCTTCAGAAAAGATGAAATTTGGACAGTGAGCAAAACTTTTCCCTCACTCTGAGTTACCTTTGAGAATTTTGCTTTGTTTGTGGCCACCACTGAAGAAAAACCTTGCTAAAATATTTATGACCGCTTCCATTCCTCTCTCTCTTTCAGCTTTAAGTAAATCTAGTAATGCTGTGGGAACTTGTCTCATGAGATTTGTAGTCCTCTCAGCCCTCCTCACCACTGATCAAGCTGTTTGAGGCTGGGGGCACTTGTAACTCAGCAATATCTAGGAGACACCTTCCCTACCCACTCATAAGTGGTTGTTAATTGCATTAACAAATATGTTAAACAAATGTTAAAAATGAAAAAATAGTTATAAAACCTACTGGCTATCCATTTCATGAAGAGATTCCAAATCTGTTATGAAAGAAATAATCTCCAGACCTATTTTTTCACACCACCTACTAGAAATCTCTATCATATTCCCAAAGAGATTAGCTAGAGCTTTTGTAACTTGGGTATTGAATTATCTCTTTCAACTGTTTCCTTACCACCTGTAAATACTCTTGAATTTAGAGGCATCTGCAGAGAATGGAAAGAGGGGAGAGAAATGATGGTATATGGATTATGATATGATGGTGTAAGTTATACTACTTACTTGTGTCAGACATCATTACATAACCACATCATTTACATGATGTCATAACACATGTTGGCATTTCAGTGTCACTGCAATTTGTTACAGGTGCCCCTGCTTGAATTCACTGCTTCCGGGTTTGCTCAGACATATCTGAAGCCTAGTGCTAATATAACAGTAAATCTGTTTCCTGAACAAGGCTTTCTCATCCTAGCAATTCTGGAGGACACATTCCCAACACATCCGGAGCACCCTAAGCAGAAGAAGACTACTCTGGGTTTTTGTTTTTGTTTTTTGCAGCTGGCATTTTCTGCCCCAAGTTTATCTATTCATCCATCCATGAAAGAACTGGGTGTTCTTTTGGAGGAAAAGTCTCTCAAACAGATCTTCAAAAACAGATACACATACATGGTGGACAACTTCATATACAACAGGTACCTGGGGGAGCTTCGGGTTAAGAAATATGCAGCCCTGCATTTTAGACTCTAATTCCTATAATCCCTTGCAATTAGGCATGTTGTCCGTGGCTGATGGGACTTGGTCCAAAACATGTGGAAAACCAAATTTTATTGATTTCTTTAAAATAATGTATATTCTACTTCTCTTTATCAAAATAGCCAATTAAAGAAACTCCAATTACAAATGTTTAAAAGCTAAATGAAACAGTAGTGAGTCATGGTACAAGTGTATTATTTTAAATTATAATAAGCTTTCAAAGCAATGTTCATTAGAAACTATTATTTATTCACCCCTGTGTATTGGAAGGTCACACTGTCAAAGAGAAAATGGTGCACAGTCCTTGAACCAGAATAAGTCCTAGAACTTCAGCTCTAAGGCTACTGCAGAAAAGATCGTTATGAGCACATGATAACTTTGGGCAGCGTCTTGTGGTGGTTGTTGTTATATTTTCTTTTCTTTATTACTTCAATTTATATGGCTGCCCACTTAGCACATGACTGCGGGCAGATAACAATCCATGGAAAATAACCATAAATAATAAGTTTAAAACAATTATAAGCAACACATCGTGCTCACAGTGACTCACAGGCATACGGTTACTTCACCGAAGAAGGGCCCGCTCAGCAGCCTGGCCACTGCCTGGAGGAAGAACTTCAGCATCTTACCATCTCAGGAGATGCATGGTTCCCTTCAGGTGACATTGCTTATGGGAGGGGCTCAGAGCATGCCCACCCTGTCAGATCTCATGGGACAGGCAGAAATAACTGGAGATAGAGAGCCCTGCAGGCAACCTGTCCCTGTCCCAAGGCGAGGTTTACAGGTGATGACTAGCACCTTGAATTGCACCTGGAAATCCACTGGGAGCCAGTGCAGCTTATGAAGTACAGGTATACAAGGGACAGCCATGTACTGCTGTTGTTTGGAAGCAGATGTAGCTTTCAAGTAATTCTCAAGGGCAACCTCTTGTAGAATGCATTGCAATAATCCAGATGGGAGGTGACCAAAGCATGAGTGACCATAAATAGGGTCTCCCAATTAAGGAATGGGTGCAATTAGCACACAAGATGGATATGGGCAAAGGACCTTCTATCCATAGCTGCCATCTGCTCTTCAAGCAAGAACCAAGAATCTATGAGGACCTCCAAGTTGTGCAATAACTGTGCCATTCTGAACCAAAAATGGTAAATCTCCAGATCTTTGGGGCCTAAAACCCACATTCACTTGGTTTTGCCAAGATTGAGCCTGATTCTGTTCCTCCCCATCCAGATTCCAGCACCTTGAGAGAGCCTATTAAGAACTTCTGCTGTACCTCCCCATCCCATTCTTTTCTTCTGATCCCACACTTACAGCAACACCAGGTGTCTGGACTTTATCACTTTTTAATTTCCTACAGTGACCCATATCTAGCATTAAGTTGACTAACAGCAGCCGCTCACCAGTGCTCTGAATGGTGCCACCGCCATCTGCCCAGAGAGCAGGTGCTTTTGAAAGTTGTGGAAGTAATAAATAACCTATGTCAAGGATCAAGGTGTACATGCCCATATACCTGTATGATATGCATACAGACAGATCATGAGCATTAATCCTGAAAAGGCTACTATTTAAATTTAGAATAAAATAATGGTTCACCTGGCATATTCGATCGGCATTTGCAGAACATTCTGATAGCTGAAAAAAGCCAGCAGGGCACAAGGTGCATTTTTCACATTGTGATGGTGTCTTCTGGAAATTGCAAAATTCATCACTTTCACAAAGGCCACATTCCATTAAAGGTTCTCCGATATCAATCACTTTCGCATCCACATTTACTTTATGCACAGAATATGACTTCTGGAGATGATTTCTGACTTTCTTCTGCAGGCCTTGAAGATTAGCTTCAAAGTAATGCTGGATGTCCTCTTGCAAACTCTTAAATGACATTTGCTTCACTGTGTCAAAAAGCATACCGTACTGAACCTTGATCAGATCCATTTGTTCATACATTTTTCTTTGTTGCACAATAATTTCCTGCTGCTGGGTGACCAATGCATTCTGCTGCTCTGCAAGTTTTTGCTGTAAATCCACAATGACTGCCTGCTGACTTTTTAATATTTCAACGAACTTTTCTTGGCCTTTGGTAAGCTGTAGTTGGAGCACAAGTGCATCCTCAGATGGGACTTCATTATCTCCTAACAAACAAAGATTTTGGCATTAAAACATACACAGATTCTCTCATTGCTGTCATTTATAAAAATGCCATCGTGCAATATCTTGTAAAATGTTATAATTTAGCCTCCCCCCGCCCCCAATTCCCATAATGTGCTGGTATAATATAATTCTGAGGCTTTATGAAAATATCAGCATATATCTGAAGATATCAGCATATTGGAATATTGCTGCTGTACCAGATAGGGTTCCAGCATAAGAGGAGCCCACTAAGCCGACGTAAAATTTGCTAAGAGTCTCTTCAAATTCAGAGCTGGTTCTGCCCAGACTCACCAACATTTTTTGACTGGTCTATTTTCAAGACAACTATCTCTATGATATCACCACAATTAACTAGGCCATTGGTTGAAGGACAGTCTTGGCAATTCAAATTGGTATCCTTCAGAGGTGTTGGGTTATGGTTAGCCACGTGGGCTGGGAATTCCAGCCCTAACCTATGGCTACTGGATTTCAGCTGCAAGAATTGGGATGACCAATACATGGCACCAAACAGAGTTTTCTGTGTCTCTTTGCTATCATCTAGTGATCGTTCATATTTTTTGTAGCCCAAATTTGGTAACTTTGAGCCTATGTGAAGGCATCAGTTTAGAGAAAGTTTTTACCCAGAAACTTGGGCTAACATTAACAGGGAGAGGAAATTGGAATGAACATATTGCCACAAAGAACAGCTTCCAGGTTGGCTTGGGGATGAGGCCTAATAAACCTACAGGCAAACGAAGAATAATTTATCTTTCTCCTCCCCATTACTCATGTTCGTGCCACTATTTTGGAAGCAGTTGGTTTGTTATTCATTCAATTGGCCCAAGAAATGCCAATGCTTATCTTCAGATCCGTGGACACAGAAAAAAGATGTTTATATTTTACTTTGAAAAAAATGTTATGTAAAAATGCTGGCTCTAGATCTTTCTTATGGCCACAGTACATCTGGGTGTTTGTCACTGGACATGTCTTCTTGTGGCCAGGACTGGTGCTTAAAGCTATCCACTGTACAATGATGAGCTGCAGCCAGTGAATCCTAGCTTGCTAAATCTATCAGTGGTAGATGCCAACACCTACCTGGTTTAACATCACAGGTGAGCTGAACACCCAAAGCAGCACCACCAAGTTCTGAAGCCATGTAGGCAAGCTCTTCCCCAATGAACTGTGCTGCCTTCTCAGTTTCTCGGACCAGGGCAGGCTCAAGGCAGCCTTCCCCTTGATTTGGGGGGCACAGAGTGGCTTGGCTAGCAGGCCTGGGCTTCTGGCGAATGCGCAAGGGTAGCCTACACTCAATGCCTCTGCAGTCCTGCATGGTACCATTGGGAGCTCTGCTGGTACAGTCCCTTCCTCCAGAGCACATCTCCTCTGCACCCCTGCTGGTCAGGGCTAACAGCCCCACACTGCTCTCCATGGAAGATTGTTGTGGCTGTTGCTTGCTGGATGTCTGCTCTCGCCCAGTTATGGTAGGTTGAATGAAGGCATGAGATGAGCGATTTGACCTGCTGAAGCAGTGAGAACCATGGCACTGATGTCTGCTGGGCTGAAGCCCACCATTGGTACTCCTGCCACATGGGGGAATTCTGCAGAGTTTTGCATGGACACATCCTCCTTCTCCAGCTAGAAGCCACAGGTAGATTCCAAGCCAACAGCAGCAAGTCCAAGATGGCTGCTTCACCTGCATCTCACATCTGCAGAAAAGGGATCTCGGTAATCAGATGGGCAAAAAAAGAAAACAAAAAACAAAAAAAAAAACCCCACACATCCTATTCACGTCATTGCCCTTTACCTCTGCCTTCACAGGCAGTTTTATGGAATTAGTACAACAAAAGAAAACATTAAGCAATTATTTTCCTCAATAAATGAATGAATGAATACAATATCCATGACAATTATGTTTGCTGGGGAAGCAAATGTGATTAACAGTCTGACTACTGATAAAGAGTGATTTCTACTGAGGGGAGAAATAACAATAACATGTGCAATATTAAATGAAACCAAAATAAAACAACGAAGCGTAAAAAGACATGCACGCTATTACTGATCATTTAAAAAGATATACATGTATGGATCAATGAGTCCAAGCAAGCTTCCAAAAATAAAGGATCTTACATTCTGAATGCAAATGCTTATGTTCTTCACATTAAAGTCAATGAACTTGGTACCCTCTAAATGTTTTGGAAAATAACTCCACATCCCTTTTATTGGCCATGCTATCTGGGTCTAATATGAGCTGAAGTCCAAACATCTGGGAAACAGCAGATTGCCTATTTTAGTTTGATATCTTTGCCCCAGATGTTATGATTTTCAGTGAAATGCAAGTAACAGAAAATTGACTCCACAAACTGATAATTTGATGCTACTGCTCTGAACAATGTCTTGCTCTTTGTTCCACAGACACTAAAACTCATTGCTGAGTCTAAGGTGAGACAGAGTGTAAGTGGGGAAAGTAATGAAATGTCCATTAGGGTTTTAGATTTGCATGACATGTAGGAGGTGTACGTCTACATTGTAACATTTATATATGCATGATAAAAATGCAAACATTAAAAAAAAAAAAGCAAACCAGCTTTCTCAAGCAAGCTGTTCCTCCATCCTACACAGAGTTGATTTCAACAGGCTTTACTTCTGGGCCTTTGCCAACCGGGTATCCTCTGGCTGTGTTGGGGTGCAACTCTCAGAATTCCCAGCCTGTATCCGAATTTTGGAGATTGCCAAGTGGGGCAATACTAGATCTGGGTGTCAGAGTTAAACAAGATTTGGAAGCGCACGCACACACCCAGCTCCCCTGCCTTTCTAGCTAAACAAGATAAATAAACAAACAAACAAACAAAAATAATTCTTTTTTTCACACCCCTTTGTAAACTTCTCTAAACAAGACCAGTCAGCAAATTCCATTTTAAAAAATGGGATAATCTCCAGATGCCCACCCTAACGAAATAATACTTGTTCTCCGTTATTCTTATTCTTATCTGCTTACTGGATTCATCCACATTTCTGGAAAGATACACAAAGACAGACTGAGATAGACGCTTCTCCTTTTTCCGCAGAAATGTATCGAAGTTTTCTCTACTCAGGCGCAGTCCCTGTTCCCAACTGGAGAGCCCGAGCGGCTTTTTCTCCTTCTCTTCACAATAGCCCCTCCGCTCTTTGCAAACGTTGCCGAAATCCCCCTTAAACAGGATCTAACGAACTTTTTAAACGCCCGCAGGAAGGGAGGGGAAGAAAGGGCAAAGGAGGGGGAATCAGATCCCGCTACAGTAATCTTAAAGCAAGCAACCTGAGCGGCTTACCTAAAAAAAAAACGAGGCGCAGAGGAAGCGGCGGGGAAACAAAAGCGCCGAAAAAACCTTCTCCGGGTTTCTTGACGAGGTGAATCAGTGACCGAGAGGGGCCCGGGGGGCAGGGAACGAGCCCTTGCTCCTTCCTGCTTTTCCGGGACTCGGGAAGGGAACGTGAAAGTGTAAGGTTTCTGAAGACATCCTTCACTTCAGTTCGCTCAGGCGCCTCCCTTTAACTCCCTGGACGCCCGACTTCTGCAGGATTCCCCGCCGGCTGGAAGAGGCTGCCCCCCCCGTGAAGGAGGAGGAGCGCCCCCCCCACCATTTACGGCGGGAGAACTTGCCTGGGGGACGCGGCGCGGGTCTCAATTTCAGGGGGCGGGCGCAGAGCCGCGTCTGGCTGAAGGCCAAAGGCTGCCGTCCGCTCTGAGACGAACCCGAATGAAAGCCAATCAGCTTCGCCGTGAAACGATCCCTCTCTCTCTGTCTCCACCCCCGCCTCCCCACATACCGATACACAGAGAGACCCCCTTACGCCCCAGTAGCTAATCCGACCCCGCCGGTTGCCCGGACCCTTTTTTAACCAGACGCGAGAAGGAAACATCCAAGCGTTCGTTCACCGTTCATCGTTGCGAGAAGGGCATGGCTCGGAAGGAGAGGCCAGGCGCGTAAAACGCTCAAGGTCATCTGAAAGATCTGTGCTTGAGGTCTGGCTAGAGCAGTGTTTCTCAACCTTGACGCTTTCAGAGGGCTGGACTTCAACTCCCAGAATTCCCCAGCTGGTCGGCTGGGGAATTCTGGGAGTTGAAGTCCAGCCCTCTGAAAGCTGCCAAGGTTGAGAAACACTGGCCTGGAGCATTTTCCATGCTGGGGATCCTTATCAACGTCAGTCTGCATGCAAAAACTTTGGACCGTGTTAAGTAAGGATGTTGTAGATCTAAACTTGAGTAGGGGAGGGGTTTCGTGGCTTCACTTAATCCATTTGGGTTTGGTTACGATATGGTTCAGTGTGGTTACAGGAATTCAAGAAATGGGGTAATTCATTCTGGCATTCTGAGGAGGTCATCTCTGTATCTGCCTTGGCTGAATACTGCAACACAGAAGCCCTAGAAATTAATTATAATAAGACCAAGGTCTTGATATTTGCAAAACACCCCAAAAGGCATATCCAGAAATTAAATAACCCCCCCAGTTGAGCAGGTCAATTCATTTAAGGGCCGACGCTTCCTAATTAAATATTTTGGTCACTCTAATCAGTTCTACTTAAACCTCTTACTATCAGATTCGGATGACTCTCTCTTTTCAAATGTGGCCAAATTCTGTCATGTAATATGTAAGACGCGCAGCAGCCTGACTGGCAAATCTGTTCACCTAACTAACTAACCAATATTAATTTTATGTATCCAAGTTTTTTTTTATGTATCCAAGAGCTGGTTAGATGTAGTGGTTAAGGCATCAGGCTAGAATCCGGGAGACTGTGAGTTCTAGTTCCGTCCTGGGCACAAGGCCAGCTGGGTTACCTTGGGCCAGTCACTCTCTCTCAGCCCTAGGAAGGTGGCAATGGAAAGCCACTTCCAAAATCTTGCCAAGAAAACGGCAGGGACTGCTCCAGGCAGCCGCCAGGAGTCAGCACTGACTCAAAGGCACACATACACAAAAAAAGTGTTTTATGGACCGGTCATTTACCACAATAAAGATTCTGTTTTGTTCTACTGGATTTGCTGTTAACTAGACCCCAGGATACAATTTCATGAATGGAACACTTCTTTTTTTTGGCAGATTTCTACCATTTCACCCTGAGACACAAACAAGAAGACACTTGGCCATCTGAGTCCAAAAAAAGAGGGGGATGTTCTAGATTTATTAAAAGAAGCCATCATTTGTCAATGTATGAAGACACCTAGTCTGAACCCAGGCAATGTTAACCTTGTTTCTAATCAGAAATAACTCCTGTTCTGATGCCAGAATGCTCATATTTGTGCATGAAGCAAGAATCCTGCAAGATCTCACCCATAGTCACGTATTTCTAGATTTACTGCATGTCTACTCAGCAGTAGGTTATCTGTAACCCAACTATTCTGTGCTGAGTAAAACACATTTATTCTTATCTGTTTCATCTTGCTTCCATATGCTTATTCCGTACCCTTTTTGTTTTATCCAAGCAGGCTAAATTGAATCCATATTCAGTTCAGAAATGTTATGCACCTCTGGAAAAACTGGGAGCTAAGCCCAAACTCTGCAATTCATATGGAGTCAATAGACTTTTTTTTTATCTCCTCAAGGAATGAAAAGCCTTACCCAAGAAAGATCATTCATGCACACACACATTTATTTAAAAACACAAATTATTTTTAAAATTGTCTTTTGAACAGAGAAGATTCATTTTAAAATGAGACGATAAAAGGAGCAGAATTCAAACAGCTGTTGTGGTTGATTTTGTGGGCCCAAATCCCTGTTTTGAAAATTAGCAGTACAGTTCCTGCTATTTTGTCACTAGAAACCCACAAAATATCAGTGTTAGCTCTAAAAAAAGCATAGCGTTGTTTCAAAACCCAAGAATCTCAACTTAACAGAAAACATTGAAAACTTCAGCCTTGCCTGCATAAGACATAAGGTACAATTTTGGTCAGGTGAGTGGGTGGGTCCATGCAAAGTAAGATCTGAGTTAAAGCACTATTAATGCCACTTTTATCAGTTGCCAGTGAATGACAAAAAGAACAGAAAAAGAGTTTAAGTGTTACATTAGTACTTGGGTATTCTTTCCTTAATATATTCATACTGCTCAAACATCCTGATGGGCAATTTTAACAGGGAATGCTGAATTATATATTGCAAGGTGTTAGCAGAAGTGGAGACTAACAGCTTTCTCTTAATGTTGCTGGTGATGGCATTTTTCTCCTTCCATTTTCTGTAAGACAAGCCTTTTCTTTTCAAACCAGTGGAATATTAGAAATAAATTATCTTTGTAGGTTTATATTTAATTCAGTTTGGATGCTGCCTGACTCTAACCGGCTCGGGTGGCATTCAAATTGTAAAGGGCCTCAGGATGTTATCTATCAACCAGCAAGATAACTGCAAAACAAAACAGGACTAAGTTTGATATGGCAGGAGAAGAGAAGCATCTCCCTAAAGCTGGCTACAGAAAGTATGAAAATTGAAGAAAAGGTGGAACCGCACCAACCGCACCAACAGCCCACAGACTAAATTTAGTCTTGAAGGAGGCTTCTTGAACTAGGCCCAGATGCCACCTGCAACACAAGGACTTTTGCATGCTCATCCAATCACTTCGGTTTTCAGCTTCCCCACTGTTTATTGTGACCACTGGCAAGAGATAATTAAAATGTCCACTGCTGCTCCAAGGGTGTGTGCAGAGAGAGAGAGACAGAGAGAGAGAAAGAGAGTA